CGTTGGAACTCATACTATCACAGGCATCAACAAATAGAATTAATCCTCAAAGAATAAAAATTGACACATTATCTGTAAATTACAAAAAATTAGCTCAAGATGTAATCCTATTTATTTTTCTTTTTATCAAAAGCCATTATTCATCGAAGTGTTTTATTGTTATTTTAAAGACAACTCATCATTCATACATAAATTTAAAAAAATATACTGTTAATGTTTTAGATTTTAAACATGCTGAAAAACTCATCATGGAAACAGAAAATTCAAGACATTGATTATAGTTGTAGTTTAAAGATTCTAAATGAGAGAGAGGAGCTAGAGATATTAGATACTTCTTCTTAATCTCTGCTGCCATAGTTAAGAAAGCCTGTTCCACATTGATAGAGTCTTTGGCACTTGTCTCAAGGAAAGGGATACCGAGCTCATCCGCAAAGGCCTGTGATTCATACTCTCAATACATGTTAGACAAAGTACGATCATCCAACTCTTTGTTTACCGTTTAACATGCAGGGAAAGTAACTGATATTTCATAATCTACCCTTCAGGCACAAGCTTCTTTAACAAAACAATTCTATATCAAATGGCATTGGACAACTAACAATAAATGCAGAAGTGACCAGTCCAAAGTTATTATTATACATGACATATTTGGCCAATTATAAAACTAGCAATACATGCATTCAAAAGATCTCACTCTTTGAATTTTGATTTATTTAAGAGAAGCTGAGTTCGAAGTAATTGGCAATTCTACCGAGATAGCGCATTTCCTCTGTAATTGAAGATAAAGCAAGGAATGTAAAGAGTAAAAATATAACGGTTGTCATGCCTATTTATTTGGTCATAGAATGAAAGTGAAAACATTCAAGTTCCCTTCCTCTCCAACACCACAGATGAATATTAAACGACATGAAGTTTAAAATTGTTCCCATTGCTTTTGTTTTCCAACCCAAAAGACCAGTATCCAGAATGAAACTGTTAGTTTTCAAGGTAAATACCGCAAGATGCCCCCCTCCATTATTTTATACAGCACCACATTTTTGATAGCTTAGGGATACATGCGTAGCAGTTTCAATAGCTCAGGGGATACAAGTGTTGAAAGCTCACATGTTATATTTAGAGTATATTTTCAAAATCAATACTTTACTTGATTAAGACACAGAAAACAGAAGATAAACTCCATACTCCTAGAAGAAGTAGGAATCAATGTAAGGATATACAGGGGAAATAACAACAGATGCCTAATGATTAATTTCGAAATAACACTGAACTCCTAAAGAGGAAAGAACATAATTACCGGATGAATCAAGAAAGAAAAAAAGAAAAGGAAAAAGTGATAATTCAGTAATTTACCTTGGCAGTTTGTGAGTCTACAACTTTGTTATCAACTAGATCACACTTATTCCCCACAAGAAGCTTGCACACACTGTCATTTGCATATCTATCAATCTCATTTAACCACTGCTTCACATTGTTAAAGCTTTCCATCTCAGTGACATCATAGACAATCTGTTGCGATCCCAAAACTTATAAGAATTCCAGAAATTTGCTAAAGAAATTCAATTAATATCAGGGCAAGTATATGGTTTTTAGCGTAGATGATGATAGCATAAAGTTGATTTACAATTATTCCATGCGCTCCTCTATAATAACTGCTTGTTATAGTCCTGAATCGCTCCTGTCCGGCTGTATCCCACTACAGGAAACAGTGAGTATCAATGGTTAGGGAAGGAGAAAAGATGATGCCTCGAATGGCTTCATTTTCTAGTGACAAGCAACATGGATAATGAGATTCACAGCTGAGGTCTACTTAAAATGTCACATACGCAAAAACAGAATAAAACAATCGAAGCTTGGTACGGGGGCAACTACAGAGCAGAGCGTGATTGAACAAGGTTACAACCAACGGTGATGATGAGCTGTAGCAGAAATGTTTATGCGGAATGATGAAGATAAGAAGGAAAAATGTGAGAGATGGTGCTATGTGTTGATTCTCAATACCCTACATTGGGTAACAGGCGTATGCAGAAATTAGGGCAAAATTGTAACATCAGAGTGGATGCAACACAAGATAATCAAAATAGATATTAGATAGTAAGAAAACCTAAAAATAGAGTATAAGAAAAGAAAACTCACAATCTGGAGCTTGACGATTTTTCCTTGTAGGTCGACGGTTCTGATTTTCTGGAGAGAGAGAAGAAAAAGTGTCGGGACATAAATAGAAAGAGAAAGAGAAAGAGTCAAAGAAGAAAAGAAGAGAAGTGATGATTACGAAATCAACTCCAATGGTACTTATGTAGCTGTCCACATAGGAGTCATCCTGCAAGGAAAGGAAGTGAAGAGATGAGAGAAAGCGAAAGAGAAGGGGAAATCCGGTAAAGTGACGAGAGACCGACAGCGAATCGGAGAAGCAAGCATGATTTTCCGACGGAGGAGTCGCCGATAAGCAGAAGCTTGAACAGGTAATCGCTGAAATCAAATCAAATCAAACCAAACGAAACCCCAGATTAGTAACACTTTCTTCCCCCAACCTCTTCCTCTCAAACAAAAACACTTACTATTCGTTACTCATTATCGCAATCCTCTCTGCTCTGTGCTATGTGGTCTCTGCTCTTTCAACACCAAAGCTCTTCTTCTCCTTCCCCGGTCCCCCTTTTAATTAAATTCTCTTTTTTTAATATTTTTAAAATACCAAACTTCGCCGTTACTCTTTTTATTTTTCTTTTCTTACTAATAAAAAATCTTTTTTTATGGGCAAATTGGCAATGACGACTTTAGGTAAAATTCAACAGACAAAATATCAACCATACAAAATCATTGTACAGGAAGTTACACACTTCAAAGGTATGGTATCGTAATTTTCTCTATGGTCGATGATGCAATATTTGTTCATCAATTGTAATGATTTTTTAGAATGTGGACTCATATACAACATACAAGTTCTTTAGGCTAGCAAATTACAATTATAATATTGTATAAAATTAAAAAAAAAATGTTTTCTTGTTTTGAAATATTTTATTGAAGAAGCAGTAGTGGATAAATGGGATGAAGAAGGGATCAGGATGGAGGCGGCGGGGGAGGGCAGAAGGGCCCGTGCAAAAGGTGAGGGTTGTGCCTGAAGCTGGGAATGGTGAAGTGTCTCAACCTGCCCTCTTGTTTTTTCATGAAGCATTCGCAGAGGAATGCCTTGGAGAAAGTGTCTTCGATCTCTCTGTTGACATCATGCACGAACACATGGGTCTCTCCACTCTCCCTGTTCCTGCTCATCATCCCAGCGGTGTAGATGGCACTCATCCTGCCAGGTGCATCCTGGTAGTAGCCGGTGGGTGCGTCCACCATGATCAGATCCCACTCTGTCTCGTACACCACACTCGGCAAACCCTTTAAAGCAAGCTGGCAAATGGAATATCTTGGATCTCCCACTGCTGTGCACTCCTCTCCTCTCCCAACCTCCATCAGATTCTCAGCCTCCTTCACCTTGCTGTCGTACCTCACGTGGTACGACTCCACCGTCGGAAACCGCCTCCTTATTTGCTCCATCCATGCCTCGTCTTCTTCCAGGAAGACCGTCCTCCCACCATGATTCAGTGCACTCCACATGAGGCTGTCGTGCCCCAACCCAAACACCAGAAAGTTGCACGGGGATTTCTTCTCCAAGACTCTTGCAGACACCGATATCTCTTTCAGCGTTTGTTGTGGGGTGATGGTTGAGGTGGAGTAGTGGATGAGTGCCTGGGAGAGAGAAACCGGTATCTTGTTGCAACTGGGGGAACAATTTGGGGTCTTTACTGAATGCGATGGTTGCGAGGCAGCATTTGGGGTCTCCTCTTGTATGTCTTTGAAGGTAGACAAGTTTGATTTTAGGACGAAGAGGAGAAAGAAGACAACCAAGAGCGGTAGAAGGAGCAGCTTGGAATTGAATGGTTGATGGGGTTTGGGCCTCATCTTGGCTTGATTTGTCTGTAGAGAGTGAGTGATGAAAAACAGTGAAGCGAGCAGGGATTGCAGGGATGAGGGATGCATGCGTTATATTTGGTTTGAAGTTAGCTGGCTAGGCCTGACGCGTGATGCTTTGACGCCAAGGGAACTCCCATGCACTGCCACTGGATGGATCCGTATTTGATATAGACAATACACCTCCCAGAATTGTGAATCAAGCAAACTGCAGTTGTTGCATCTTCAAATTTGGTAGAATTTCTTTCTATACCTATATTTCAGTCAACATCTTAATCTTCAATCTCTTTCTACTCACTCACCCACTCACCCACGCACTCGTGTCTTCTTTGTGAACATCAAATCAATCATAACAAACAAGTTTAGTCCATAACCCACCTTCTTATCTTTATTCCTTGAAGGGAAAAAAACTTTTCTGAACGTATTTTAAGGTTTTGCTTGACCAAAATCCTCTAGAGCAACACAAACAATACAGCTTAGAAAGTACTTTGAAACATGATTTCCTCTTTTCTTCTATTTATAAATGAATTTGAGATCAAGCCAAAGGAAGTGGACTTAAAGCTTACGTTAGAGTGGGAAGAAAATATAGCCAGCCATTATATATGTTTAGTTAATAATCATACAGCGTCCACTGTTCGTTAGAAATTCCAAATTTCTTCTATATTCCAAAGCTCCAAGTCTTGAGATTGCATGTTTTAATTAACTTGCCACTTGCATGTACACACCCACCTAAGTTTAGAATTGATTGCAAAGGTTAATCGATCTAGTAAATTATCCCAGAAGTGAAGGTATCACATGAATGTTAATAGTAAATCTTCTGTCTTGGTATTACTTCACTTGCATAACCACGTTAATGAGAATTCGATGTTTTGAAATGCAGGACTTTCTTCAGCCTTTCTAGTTTCCTATGCCAATGCCTTCTTCTAGCTTTGAATATGCTTGTAACTTGTATAACCCATTAACCTATGCATTAAATCAATAGAATGTAATCGGGCAAAATCAGTTTCAAATGTACAATGCCACGGAAATGACTTCGAGATCAGGCAATGAAACAACTTGTGTTTTATACAATTATTTTACACTCTATCGGCATGGATTTTACTGGCTCTTATAAACTATCCACCTTCCTGAAACATTAAGTTTGTTGGTTAGAACACTGTACAAGGCCTTCCATGGTAATTATAAACATCTGAAAGTGAAGAAGTGAGAGCACTAGTCAACTATCGGCAACAAGAATTGAATAACTTTCATAACAACTATTTTATCTTGGCATTATGATAGCCACAACCCTGCGTTCCAGTGTTCTCATACCATGTTAACTGCATCAGAACCCTCTTGAAAGTCAGTCACTTTTTGATTTCTCGAACGAGCTTTCCGGACAGCATGTTTAGTTTGCCTTTCGTTTTCCTTCAGTTTTCCTTCAGTATTCCTTCAAGACTATATCCCCTGGAAGCCAGCAACGGTCGAGAATGATGCATGCGGGCATTTTAGTTAGCAAGGCCCTGTAATCATAAATAAAAGCAAGTAATTATTTGATAGCTTTACATTCATTGAACATAAATACTAACAACCATCTCCTGAAAGTTTCATTCAGGTTCCAGTATTCTACTAATTACGAGTGCAGATATATTTATATATTATTATCCCTGGGTTATTAACATTCGCCTCGTTGCAAGAAAATATTGATATCAAGACAAGTTAGCAAACCAGTCTTCATACTCAACAAACTATTCCTTTCCCATATTCTCTGAAAGGGACAAGGAATGCTCGCTTCAAAATAATTGAGCAATTTCACATATTTACCTTGGCACGGTACTTCCCTTGGGGAGAAAGTCCTTCTTCTGTTAAGATTTGAGTCCATCCAACAATTGGTTGGACTCACCATCTGCTTTATGGCTATATCTCGTGCCAAATTGATCTTCTGGCAACTGCGAATTCACACTAAAGTCACCACCACTCATTTCAAGAAGTGAATCACCTCGAGCTGCAATTGAATTAGAAAATCTTGACAATTTTGCGGCACTACCTTGCCAATACGAAGTATGTTTGCTCAACTCAGACTTTCTTGATATAAAGGCATGATCAGGGCATATGAGGACATTTTCCTCTTTCAAATTCCTAGTGCGTGAGGATCCATAAACACTTGGATGCATTGACTGGCCAGAATGAGAAAATACATTGTGTGTTGTTGACGTTGCCTTTACAGGTTCGCGAGAGAAGCCATAACCGTCATCCTTTTCGTAATTGTACTTCTCAGAGACGTGCTTAACATTACACAGTCCTGGTTTCTGGAGTCAAAAATCACATGGAAAAAGGTGTGTCAGGCAAACCCAAATAACTCAAATGAAAAGAAGGTCCGTTAACACTTTGTTTATGATATAACGTACCCCTGTAGTGGCCTGAAACTCAGCATTAGTACCAGGTACTGGCACAGCTGTAGACTCTCTAAAATTATTCCCTAGTGATTCGTATTCATGTCCTTTATTTGGTGCTCTTCGCCTGCTTAATAATAGACAAATGGATGTCAGGAGAAACACATGGAATCAATAAGGACAATGAAGCAAATCAAACCAACGTCATGTCTCAAAAAGAAGAGGAAAAACAACCAAAATAACACTCAAATACTTCTGCACTAGTCAGAGGTTCTGGAAATGAATATCCTGAGAGAACATAAAGGAAAGGGAAAAAAAAAGAGAAAAGAAGTGCAAAACGTTTCTATTATTGCTTGAGACATCCATAGAGAAAGCAAAGAATCATTAAAGCACACACTAGAAAGGTGTGCGAAAAATGTCCTATTGCTGCAGGTAATGCAAAAAAATCAGATATGACAAAATCACATTAGAATTGACTAAAAAAAAGTAGGTTTAGAAGGTGAAACCGCCGCTAATAGTCAAATTTTCGGATAACTAATTTAATCTAAATTATCCTCTAATATAAAATCCTCAAAGAAGGAATACCTTTTAGCTTCCTCTTGGCGAAGTTTCGCATCAAACTCCTTACTCGGTGGGTACTTTGGCAAAGATGATGGATCACAAGGAAGTGGCATTGTTGTGAAGAACTAAGCATGGAAAATGTCAGTCGCTATGTAAAAGAGGATGGGAAAGAAATCTTCTGAGGTCCCAGCTCAAAAAATTCTAGGATGTGTAACACGTGCATTCTGTTCAAAGACAGTTTGTACTGTGAACTGCACTCGTAAAAAAACTAATATTTACCTCATGCCGAAGTGCTGAAGATGCAGTTCCCCGATCATCCGATTCAACAGCTAGAAGGACCTCCAAGAGGCTCAGTGTAGATGAAGGAAAATCCTTGAATGTCTGAGAAACAACACGTATGTAAGGATGCTGAGGTTTAAAAATTGTTGCATGCGGCAACTTTGACTTCTTCCAGTATTCTTCAGAAGGAGATCCACACAGTTTGAAGATTTTATGTAGTTGCTCCACCTAGAATGACATATTACCAGATCTTAGTTCCCAATTAAACCATGGAAAGTTGTAACAAAACAATTAAGTATTTCAAATGACACCGTCAAAAATCTTATATCCTAACTCGTAAATACCATTTCTCATCAATAAATTGATTGCAGGTATAACTCAAATGGCTATAAAACTAACATGTTGGAGTTAGATTACAAATGTGATGCTTATTTGATTTCTTCCTCTACTTTACATCACTTTATAAATGTACAACTTTCTATCCTCCGATGCAAATATGCACAGGTAACAGAAGAGAACCTATAAGTTTAAGACTTATATCATCAAGCTTTGATGATAAAGGTATCACATGCAAAGGCTTGAGTATGTCTGACAAAAAAATTGCACATAGCCAAGACAAAAGAGGAATACTACCTCTGTTCGTCCAGACAGTATAGGCTTCCCAACAAACAACTCTGCAAGAATACATCCAGCACTCCACAAATCCACAGTAGTTCCATAATCTGTAGCTCCAAGTAAAAGTTCAGGTGGCCTGTACCACAAGGTCACTACCCGACTTGTTAAAGGCAGCCCCTGAGATGACTGAAGCAAAGTTGCTAGCCCAAAATCAGCAATCTTCAGTCTGCCATTACTGTCAATCAGAAGATTTGAACCTTTTATGTCACGATGCATGACACCACGACTGTGGCAATGCTCTAGACCACGAAGAAGCTGTTGCATGTAACACTTGATCTGTAATATGACATAAAATATTCACCCGTAAACAAGAAGCCGAGGTCCATTAATGAGAAAAGAAAATAAGAGAAGAAGTCTGACACGGAACTTTAAGTTGTGAATACAGTTGAATGCAAAGAATACATGGGCTTTTAGTAAAAGATTATTGTTGGTTTCGGGTTTTGCTTCGGGGTCCTGCACACCGGCTACCAAGTGCTCAAAGGATGCTCGCAAAGGAATCAATAAATCAAAGATTTTATCGGAATCCATGGTGTGTGTGTGTGTGTTGGTAACTAAGATGTTACACTTAAATATTAATGTTTTCTACTTTTGATTTTATAACCAGTGCCTAACTGTTTAGCGTTCTTCTTTGCTTTAAACAGATTTCTTGTCTATTTCAACTAATAGGTTAATCAGGTCTAAGAAATGCAAAGGCAGTTAGTCAGATCTTTGCAGCTCTAGAGCCACTAGGGATTTTTGCAAGACGGTGAGATACTCAAATAAAAAAACTTATAAATGTCGTTGTTATCCCGGTCAAACCCTTTACAATAAATAGCACTAGGACTCCCGTAGATATACAATGTTTTTGACTCGTCAAATTCAATAATAATAATAATAATAGTAGTAGTAGTAGTAGTAAAAGTGATTTTTGTTTTAAACAGATATTTAGCAATCCATTGCTTCAAAGCTTGTGTCATGCTTCTATTAATTATATAAATGATAGACACTTTCTAGATCTCACAAGGTTCACTCTGAAAATAATATGGTTCACTGTGCCAGTTTAAATACAGAAAAATGACATCAAGTGAATTTTAAATGCTTCCAAGAAAAATTTACAGTTGTACATGAGAGAAAGGCTGTTATCTTTAAGACTCTGTTATGCATTATTAGAAGGTACCTGTGCTTCGGAAAACTTGATGTCGGGTATTGCTGCAAGTCCTGCAAGATCGTGCTCCATATATTCAAAGATAAGGTACAAGCTACCAGAGACCCGTGAGGCAATCATGCCCTCAAGCTTCATGACATTGGGATGATCAAGCCTCCGCAGCACAATAACCTCCCTTGACATAAAACGAACGCTTTCTGGATCCATATTAGTAAATCGAACCTTCTTCAGTGCAACAATTTTATTTGTTTCAAGATCACGAGCTTTATAAACACTGCTGTAAGTTCCTTGGCCAATCTGCAACATGACAGGTAAGTTTGTTTGGTAAGTGACATTAAATAAGGATGGAAAGAGAAAGCAATGAATAACAATAGGAATTGCCTTATCCAACTTCTCAAAGGAATCAGCCCTACGAGGTATCCAGCCACTAATGGCTTCACCAGCAACTGCAGAGAGCCAAGAGGGCCACCCAGCGAGAACCTGTACTCCTCTTTCCCCTCTGGTTATACTATACAACCTAGACATCTTAGGTTGTTGTAGTTGTGTTTGTGTCGTTGATCGCACCCCATTACCATTGGCTTTCTTGTCCCCTTTCTGTTGAATTTGGTCCGAGAAAATTGGGGTGGAGGCTTTTTCTTGAGTTGCATTTGAACTTGAATAGGAATATTGATTTACATTGGATATGAGGGAAGTGGTGTCCCCGAAAGTGTTGGTGTTGGGGGATGGAGTGGCCTTCAAACCTTCGGTATGGTTTTGAGAAACGTATTGGTGTGATGATGATGATTTTGCTTTGGAGCATATGCAACCCATAACACCCGCCGCCAATTTCCAACAATGCCAATGAGAATGTGCTTTTATGTTCTTTTTCTTTCTGTTGTATTCTACCGTATTAGATTGAAGAAGAGACCCAACGTGGCCCTGCCCAGATTCCCCAGCCAAATGAAATGAAAGGAAAAAAAAACAGAAATTGCGAAGCGAAATGCGGATGAAAAAGGGATAGGAGATGCTGTGGAAAGAGAGAAAACGGGATCTGCAGAGGCGCTGAGAAACTTGTAATGTGGGTTACAATTGAACGGAAACAGAAACAGAGGGCAATGCAATTGCGTGGTTCAAGCAACAACATGCAGATGCTGTGTCATTGACCGGAAAACACAAAAACATAGCATACATGAAATTGAAAGGAGATGAGCGGTTAGAGCAACATTGGACGCCTAGGATCTCCAATCCAACATCTCTAACAATGTCTCTCAATTACGCCAAATCCCTTTCCCTCCCATGCACACTCCCATACCCACGCCTGTCACCTTTCAATTATATTTCATTTTTCACTCACCCACCCCTAAATATATAAATAAATTTAAATAGTTATTTTTACTTCCTTTTTCTATTACTATTACTATTCAAATTCAAATATATAACGAGAAAACGTTGACAAATATATATTTTTTAATATTTTTAAAGTGAAAATAGAAAGCCTGTCCTATTAATATTAAATTAAATTAAATATATTTTTGAGAACAAACAATAAACGATGTTGGAGTGTGAAAAGGATGTGAAAAAGGAGAAAGACACGTCGGTTAGGAAGAAAGTCGAAGCAAGTGGTTTTATCCACGAAGCGGAAGGTTCGGAGGACACAGCTGGAGACAGGCTGTCACCAACAAAGTCCCACTCACCAATTCCCCTCTCTTCTCTAACTCCCTCGCCTTCTCCTGTTCCTCTCTCTCTCCCAAATTCACCTTCGCATCCGTTGCAATTAGGGTTAGCTGATCCCCTTCTTCGCCTCTCCGCTTCCTCGCTCCTCTTCACCGGATCAACCGTCCCTTCCGCTGTAAGCTCTCTCTCTTCTCTTCCTCTACTCTCTGCAATCTCTCCTTTCTCTTTCTGCTTCCGTTTTTCCTTTCTTTTTTTCCTCTCCCAATCGATTTCAATTTCGATTTCATCTTCCCCCTTCCTCTCTTTCCTTCTTCAAATACCCAACAAACCTAACTTTACTTCACATTTTCCTCCGTCTTTCCCTGCCTCAACCCTTAGCTTTTCTAGTTAATGTGCCTTAACAATCCTAAATACCTGCTCTCCCCACACCAACTCTCTTATTTTTCTTCACTACACTCACTCTTCATTTATTATTGCTATCGCTTTCAATCAAAACACCCTCTCATGCTCCTCAACGCCATATCTTTCGTCTACTATCACACCTCTTTTTGCTTCTAATTGCAATCAACACTTTCTACCGCTTTCAACTTAATGTTTATGTTGCCGAAGACAACTCCCGGTTACAGTCTCCACACTACTCCCCCTCTGTTCCAAATTTCTTTTTTTTTGTCTGTTTGCTCTGCTGAAAACCAGTCGCTGGCCTATGATCTTATGTGATTATTAAATTAGTTAATGTACTAATATTTTTTCTGTGATTATTTATATATCTTTTGAATTGCATTTGTTGGTGCCGCTTCCTGGGTTTATTGATACTGCGAAAAATAGTTAATGAATGTGGCCACAATTGAGGTCACACCGTTGACATTGCCTGCCAAACCCACTCTACGACTTTTATTTATAAACCTTGTTATCAATTTAGGAATGTAGTGTGTAATCTCACGTAGATGTTATTGTTAGCCTGTATAAATTATTTTTCCTTGGCCTGTTTTTTGCACCCCGGCAATTTGATGATATATGCTAAACTCCCTGAAGATTGAAATGATTTTACCCATGTGTTTGGTTCGAATATCTGACGTTCTGAAATGTGATCATTTTAAGCAAAGTTGTTTTGGTTTTGCATTCGAGTGGTCAACTTTCTTTGTTTCTTCTTCTAACTAATTTATTATCAACTTTAGGTGCTTGAATTGGATAATCAGCCTTAAAGCTATATGTTCAGGGCTTGATGTATTACCCATAATCTTGTATCTACAGTGAGCGTATGGAGGGGGTGCTGCTTGATTGATCTGGGATGTTGTGGAGCTATCTATCTTGAGTGATTATGCATATCTGGATCGAGTTCAATCATCTTATTCTTTTATTAGGAACTCATTGATATATACTTTAGTTCTGGAAAGAAGGCACAACCACCAGAGGATTTCCTGTATCCATGCTGTCAGAGAGCATGCGTGGAATCTGTACATCGGGTAATGCCCCTGTCGAGAATAGCTACCGAGGCATTCGGTCTGGTGACGATCTGTTTAGTAGCCATCTTAATTCTTCTTGGGTTGATGTGCATTGCTTACTCATTTTACTTCCGCTCTCGTATTCATAGTCAACGTCTGCTACAGCTCACTTATTTTAGTGGTCCTTGGATCATCAGAATCACAATAATCCTATTTTCAATCTGGTGGGGTATTGGTGAAATTATTCGACTTACTTTGTTAAGGAGTACCTTTCACTTAAAATGGCCGGACACTGTCTGCAAGTGTTACATTGTATCAAATTTGGGATTTGCAGAACCGTGCCTATTCCTCACACTTGTATTTCTCCTTCGGGCACCTTTACAGGATTTGGAGACTGGAATTATGAGCAAAAAATGGAATGTGAAAACATCGGGATATGTTCTTCTTTACTGCCTCCCAATGTTTGTTCTTCAGCTTTTTGTTATTTTGGTTGGACCTCGGTTAGACAAGAATAGTGGTTCTGGAAAAAAGTTGCCTCATTATTTTTCAAGTGCAGCGGCTGCCTCTTCAATGACCGGGGAGAATGATACTGCCTTCTGTACTTACCCTTTATTCAGCACTATTCTCCTTGGCCTTTATGCCATTGTCCTGACTTCCTACCTTTTTTGGCTTGGTAGTCGGATTTTGAAACTAGTTATTAACAAGGGTCTGCAGAAGAGGGTTTACATATTGCTATTCTCAGTTTCATGTTTCCTTCCATTAAGGGTTCTTTTTCTTGGTTTATCTGTTTTATCCGGACCTGAGCATTTTATGTTTGAAGCCTTTGTTTTCTTGGCTTTTCTTGCACTGGTATGTTGCGCTGGCTTGTGCATGTACACACTTGTTTACCGTCCAGTGGCAGATAGCTTAGCGTTGGGAAATCTGCAAGACATGGAAGCTAGGAGGCGAAATGATCATAATGATACTGTGTCTTTCATTGCTAGCCAGAGTCATCTGGAAGGAAATGTTGAAGAAAATGTTCGGTCTAGTCCTGGTAGATACTCTGATGCATCAACAAAACGAGGATCGATTTCATTTCGGACATTAGAAAAGGGTGTTACATCAACAGGAACATTTGTTGAACTTAGCCTCTTCTCTCCCAGCCGCAGTGCAACCCCTCCAGGATCACCTCCTCTCCTAGGTTGGCCAATGCGATCCCCAACGCAACATATTGGACCATAGAGGCAGGCTGAAAACTGAATATTGGATCGATATCAATTTTGTGGAAAAGGGAAAACTGATTGTAAAGGATTTAGCATCAATAAGGCGTCTTTTTTGTTTCTTTTTTTTTTAATTTGTTATGTTTGCTAATTCTAGTTATAATGTTTTTGCCCTGGAATTTATTGTGAGTACTCTTTTTACGCTTCTGTACCATCTCGACAACGTTTTACTTGTTTCTAATTTTGTACTTGAAATGTTTGGAATACTTTTGGGTGAAGTCATTGGGTTAAGATGTTTGATCTGATTGATCACTACCTTTCAACGATAGTATTGGATTTGGACTGTGTTTGATCTTTGGATCAAGTATCTCTGTATTACGAGGTTATTTGGGGTCAGATTACTTTGTTTTGCCTGTTGCATAGCAGCCAAGTCCACTGAAAGCTTCTAAGAAATGTAATAATGTCTCTCTTTGCTTGAAAAATAGTCTTACCAAGGTGAATGCTTAATTGGTTAGATTTAATTTTTTATTAACTTCCAATCTAAAACTTTAATAACTGTAATTAATAGTTTATATAACGTAGAGAGGGGACTATCACCACAAGTTAGAGGTTTGGTTTCAGTGGAGGGACTGAAATACGTGATTGGCAGGAGACAAACCAGACAAACACACCAGTCAACATTGCACTCGAATCCACCTTAGCCTCCAACATTAGCAGGAGACAAATCAAACTACAGTGTGGTGTTGGATCTAGCGTGTACATATTTGATTATTTATGTATGTGAATTGTTTTGCCTGATGTATAGAACTAATTGTGCTTTAGAAATTAGGTGAAGGAAGTATTTTTGGAAATTAAGAACGCTTTGTGCAACCTAAGGTTATGAGATGAACTATTGTTTTGAATGTTGTATAATACTAATTGGACAAGAATAATTACGAATAAGAGCAATGAAGCTTAAAATATTAATCCAATATAAGAGAAGAATATGATTCTAAGAAGACGAGCGTAACGGGGAACTTTGAAAGCAGCCTAAGGCTTGACTTGATTATATTATATTGAATATAATGGACAAATCTAAGTGTGAGAAGAAAAATAGAGTGTAATGAAGAATGGTTTAACTAGGGACATGGCCGAGTCTGACAACTACGAGAAAGTTTCAAAAGTCGACGAGAGATTTGACGATTAAATAGCCTATGCTCCTTACACTCACGCGCCGAATCTCATTCTCCTCACCCTCAGATGTGCCATCTTTCCATTCCCTTCCCTAGTTCCTAGTAATGATCCTTTACAGAACACCTTTTTTTTCTTAGTTACATAAAATTTCCCTATTTAAAGGATTCGATTACTAGGTTTAATTTTAGTCATTAAATTATTAAACTTTTTTTGTTTTTGTTTTCTTTTCAAACTTTATTTTACCTAGGTCCTTCTCTTTTTGAAACTAATGGATTTAGTCCTCGAGATCAAGTTGTTAGTATTTTTTTTATGACAAGTCTCCGACTTGTTTAAGACATCTGTACAGTTAAAATTATCATGTGAAAAATAAATTAGTTGAAACAGTAATGTAATTGCTAAAATTAGTTTTTTAATTGGATTTAGGAAATTTTATAAAGATTGTAAAAGGCCATTTTAAATGATTTTATACATACACTAATGGAGCATAATGTTCTAAATGGTAAAACAGTTAAATTTGTGAAGAACAATGAAGATAATAACTGTCTGTAAAAGAAAGTGTGATTTTTTAATTATGGTAAACAAGGTTGAAGACAGTCATACGTTTAGGATTAAGATACTTGTTGGCCGTCATAAAAGTTAAAAGGTATTTGGTAACAAATATGTAAGTGTAGACTGAATTACACAAATATTAATTGACAAATTTATACAATATTGGCATAATACCTTAGAGGATTGGCAAAACAAAGGAACTTGCAATGGACTGTATGGTGGGAGATGGACAACGTCAATTTTTTTACTATATGACTATGTTTCTTAATTTCTTAGAGTTAAGGTTGGAACATTTAAGATTAAGGTGATCAATCCCAATCGACTTTGACACCAAGATTTGAGTGTTTTTACATATGTTTAGAAGTTTGTAAGAGGAGTTATTGACTGGTTGCATGTCCTTCATTTGAGTTGAGAGTTGTCATCTAAAGATATTTTATGGTGATAAATTATTAGTTGTAATGGGTAGAAATTCTACTAACCAATACTCTTAACTAGCTTTTTGTTGTTGAAAAGGAAGCAAAGAAATGTTGAGGTGATTTATGACATTATTATTGACCGGTATTCGAGACATTAAAAATCTTAGTTGGATATTTATTTCGTATCAAAGTAGTTACAATGTAATTAGTTTGTAATAAAAATTAAAAACCATCAATAAAACCAATGCATTCTTTTACTTACCGTTCAATTTCTACGTCTCCAAAATAAAACCTATGCCTTTAATAACAACAATCATTCTCAACATTCACAAACTTTTGATGCTAATTGTGAAGACGACTCACTGCACAATTCCAAACCAATGATCATCCATATAGAGCCAAATCATCTGCTATTAGATTTCATCACCTACAACATTGATTTGCAAATTAAATTACTAACTACTTACATAATTCAACTTGAATCAATAAAAAACCCTACGTGTCCAAACCCTTATGTCTAATCCCACCTTCCATTTCCAAAAAACTAAAATAAACTTACATATCTTTCTCAATACAAACTCTAGAAATTACAGTTTTTCCTCTCCACTAATGTAAGTAGAATATAAAATGATTTGTTGGGTATAAGAGTGCAACCTGCCTTAAAATTAGTATCACTCCTCAGAGTTTTATTTTCTTTCAGCATATAAGTGGATACGTTTGATTAAGTTGAAGATCACCGAGCCTCGGTTTATATTTTTGCTTCCTTGTGGGTTATATTAATGTCCGTCGGTTGATACGTATTGCACCTCAAAATATCGAACCATTAAAGATAACAGGAAAATTTTTGAAAACAATGAATGTTTATTTAGTCATAACAGATTGAATTACACGTCGCTATATCATGAACTTTTGTAACCCAAGACCCACGAGTTTCACCAACAGCATTAATAGCATTCATCGCAACCTAAAATTACACTCAGTTGCTAAATACATGAAAAGGGAGACAAAATCCGGCCTCAGCAGGAGGAACGTCGTCTTTATCAGAAAAATATAGGAAGACAACAATATAAAAATATGGGGTCATAAAAATAAACTGTTTTAATAATAAGCAAGTTCAGTCATCAACTTCAGCTTTAATCTCTCTCATCAAATCCTCCTTGTAATCCTCAAATGTTCCGGGGAAAGTTTTGACAGTCCCATCCTCGACAACCCAAATTTGACTCCTTTCTTCATCATCACACACACGTGATATCAATCTTGAATCATGACTGACAAGAACAACTCCACCAGTGAATTCATCCAGTGCATCTGCCAATGCATCAATACTTTGCATGTCCAGATGATTGGTTGGTTCATCTAACAATAAAATGTGTGGTTTTGACATGGAAATAGAAGTGAAGACAACTCGAGCTTTCTGCCCTCCTGATAGTTTGGCAATAGGAGTAAGATGGTTATGACTTGGTAACCCAAACTTACCAAGTTTTGCACGAACAGCCTCCTGCTTGCTAAGTCCCTCCTGATCAGGATGGAGACGCAGAAGATACTGCACAGCTGTTTCATCCATTGTTAGAAGGTCCACAAAGTGTTGGGAGTATCTTCCTATCCTCAACTTCTGACTTCTTCGTACTTCACCCTCAGAAGCAACCAAATCACCAGCTAGAAGATTCAACAACGTGGATTTTCCAGCTCCATTAGGCCCAACAATGGCAACACGAGTCCCCATATCAATGCCAACATCAACATTTGATAGCCTAAAATCCTCTCGGTTTGGGTAGCTAAAGCTGACCTCAATGAGCTGTAAAAGTGGGGGTGTAAGCTCAGTGGGTTCAGGAAAGTGGAATTCCACACTGTAATCCCTCCACTTCTGTGGAACCTCCGATGGGGCATCATCCTCATCAACCTTCCCCTTGCCTTTGCTTTTAGATGCTTCCTTAGCTGCTGCAAACTTAGCTCGATCCTTAACCTTTTCTTGCTGGGCTCGGTTTCCACTCCTTTTAGCTGCTTTCAACTGCTTGTCATAAATCTCATACTTCTTATTCATCTCTTTACGACGCTGTTCATATCCACTCTCAAAATCATCAAAATTGCCACGATAGAAATGAAGTTTCAAATCATGGAGATGAATAATCTCAGTACATACTGTATTGAGAAAATCTCTATCATGTGAGACAACTACCAAAGTTTTCTTCCAACGGCACAAATACTCTTCCAACCAGAGAACAGCCCTCAGGTCGAGATGATTCGTGGGTTCATCAAGTAATAATAGCGTTGGTTGAACAAAAAGTGCTCGAGCTAAAGAAATTCTCATTCTCCAGCCACCACTGAAGGATTTTGTAGGGCGGCCTTGCATATTCTTTGTAAAACCTAAACCGGCTAATATCTTTGATGCCTGAGCTTCAGCAGCATCAGATCCCATCAACTGCAGTTTTTCATATAGCTCTGCTAGCTTTTCTCCTGTATCATCTTCTACATCATCATCTTTGTCAACACTTTCTTCAGCAGAAGCTGCATTCTGAAGAGAGGCAACCTCTTGCCGAATTTTAACTAGTTCTTCATTAGCTGAAACAACGGCTTCAAGAGCTGTCTTGTCATCACCAACTACCTCCTGCTCAACCAGAAGGACATCAATATTCTTAGGTACTGGTATCTTCCTCCAGGCAAGAAGTTTCAGCAGTGTGGACTTGCCCATTCCATTGGGTCCAACCAAACCATACCTCTTTCCATGAGATATCTTCACTGATGCATTCTTCAAAAGTTCTTTACCACGAGCAGAAACAGAGAAATTTTCTATTGTTATATCTTTCACATTAGCGTCAGCATCATCGTCTCCATCAAGCACCGAAGCTCGGCTTCCAATAACCACAGTGAATGCATCATGATCATCCTTAAGAGCCTCCCTCTTTGCCTGCTCAGCAGCATGTGCTGCTAAAAGATCCTTCTTTTCACGCTTTTTCAACTCTTTATCAGCAATAGGCACATCAAGTGGCTTTAAATCAGGCCTTTGTTGCTGACTTCCACGTTTGGATGCATTATTTTTCTCCTCCTCCTGTTCTAGGAGATCATCATCTTCATCATCAGAAGGCGGAAGATCAATACCATCGGTGTATGCAGAAGCTTTTGGAGCAGATTTTGGCTTCGGCTTACTGGAGGTAGAAGAGACCTTTTTGGGTTTGTCAGGCTTTTCATCCATACTGGCCAGCATAGCAGAGACAGAAAATTTTTCCTTCTTGGGAGCATCTTTAGTTGTCTTGGTCTTCGCAGATGGGCCAGCATCCTCTGGCTTTTTCCTTCCCATTGTAGAAGACTGAAACAAGCAGAAAACATCTTAATTTAAGTCAACTAACCATACATCGTTACTGCTATGCCCTTTCCCAAATAAAAAACTGTTAACTGAGTTAGTCAATAGTAAATGCGAACATATATGTTAAAATGACCTTAATATAGGCTCTGCACATAAAATTTAAAATGTCATATTTCAATCTATTTCTCTAACGAGTACTTTCTTGAATACAGATTACAAGATATTCCATCGATAGTTCTAAATCTATTTCTCTAACGAGCAACATGAGTTAATTAGACACGTCGTGTTTCATCTTTTTAAATTACAATTCGTTCTATTAGACGCAAGAATTGTCTATATCTACACATCCATTTTGGGCAACCAGTTGTCAAAGTATAAAGGAACCAGGAAGTGATAAAATCATTACATGGGGTGTGATCTGAAGAGTAGAAATGAGGAGAAGGAAGCTAAATTGAAGGCATGCAAAATTAAAATTACAGAATTGATGTAAAAATAAAGGTTTCATGAATAAAGAAAGAAATCCAATATATTATATACAAAGGTGCAGGAAAGCACTAAAGAAGTAGCAAGAAAACAAGAAACAAGGGTGGCGAATAGAAATGCAATCACATAATTAGTGGGATCACCGATATGACCACCAATCTATCTATCTATCTAAATATCTTGATTTCTTGAACCGATGAAAATTAAATAAAGGAAAGAGGATGGGTCAGACGAAAACGGGGAGGGCGGTGCAGCAGATTGCAGCAGATCACGGAAGAATAGAACGGTAAATGACGGAAGTGGTAAAATGGGCAAAACAATTGTAATCGAAAAAAATGGAAGGAATAGATGAAACTGAGAAGGGAGAAGGACAAGACAGAATACGGAAAGCATCGGAAAACCTTCGAACCTGATTCAGAGGCGGCGGAGGCGGCGGAGGAGGCGGCGGCGATCAAGTTGGGCACAGTCGAGTGGAGTTAGGGTTTCAGTCCAACCTACGGTTTTCTTTCACCCTTATCTTCTTTTACAACTATATACCCTTTGTTAAACCACCCCTTCTTTTAAACACCGCCTTCGAAAACAGTTCATTGTATTAATCAAATCATATTTACAATTTTCAAAAGGAAAACGATAATTAGACAACAAATTTTGACAACATTTGGACACAGGACGCGTGTCTAAATGTTACAGGTGCACGTGGAATTTTTTTTTAAAATCGAAGAATGATGTAGCAATGGCAGAATTGGGGCAGATTAAAATTTTTAGGGTTGTTTCGAAAATTTCAGATTCAAATGTTTTGAGAGAGAGAAAACGGAGAACATTTGATGGAGCACCTTCTCTCCTTCTTTCCTTCGAACCAGCCACCACAGCTCTCGCCAGATACGCCAAGCCAGTAGACGTTGCCGTTTTCGCTCCATCCAGTGCCGCCGGTGTCCGTCGTCTTCCACCCAGCCACGCAGTTCGGTTTGCGGGTCGCCGCATTGCCGGTGTTGGCAGACGAACCGAAGACGACATCGTCTTCCCTCCGGCCAACCAACCAAGTTTGCGTTTTGAGTATCGATTCCTCCCACCCGCTTCCTTCCCTGTGTCGGACCCTTGCGGTGGTCGCCGGACTGCCGTCGGAGCGTCGCCGGACCAAAAATAGTCCCACTTGGTCCCTTCCCTTCCCTTGATGATATTTTATGGACTTGCAAATCTCTTTTGCCAGTAAACCAACTTCCTTAAATTCTACTGATTCATTGGATGGTAGAAATACATAAATTTGTTGCAATATATGCTGTCTTTTTGGACGAAGAGTTCTCTGCCTGATTTCTAATGTCGCCGGCAGTTCCCAGGAGTTTCCAAGGCCGCCACTGGCCGCAGCGTCAGATCTTGCTCCCACTCTGCTGTTGATGGTGATTTGGGAATGAGTTGTGTCGTTTCTGTATTTCTTGCAGGTTTGGTATGGTTCACGGTGGTCGGAGGTGAACGTTGAGGGTGGAGAGGATAATGATGAAGGGTGTTGAGATGGGGAATTTGGAGTGAAAAGGAAGTGTGGTTGATGGGTGGAGTTGAACTGGAAATTGAATTGGATGTTGACGAGTGAAAGGGAAATGCTGAGATTAGGAGGGTGGGTGTTTAGATTTTCAAGTTTTGATGTTGGGGAGATGAAGTGGAAGTTGGGTGGAAGGATGGTGATTGAAGATTGTGTGGTGGCCGTGAGTTTAGGATGTTGAAGATGGTGTGAAGGATGATGAATTCCAGTAGTCGTGGGTGTATTTGGGTTGTTGGGAATGGATGAAGAAAGGTGGCCGTGAGGTGTGTTGGTAGTGTTGATGGGGCACGGGTATTGGAGATGGAGAAGAAAGGGGTGAAGATTCATGAGCTGCTGGAGGTTGGCCTGCAACCATTAAATTGGTAGAAGGAATGTGAGTGTCGGCAGCTCTGATTGGTGGAATGTGTGGTGGAATGTGAGTGTCGGTAGCTGTGGTTGGAGGGTTGCAGAAATTATTGGGTTGGTGAAGTGGGGAAAGGTAGAACTGGGGAAGGTAAAAGTGGACCCTTCGAAGATTTTGGAAGATTGTGGAAATGGGAAAATCTGGACGAGCGGCAGTGGAGAACGATGAGGACGAACAGTATAAGGGGAGTGTCTTGGACGAGCGGCAGTAATGATGAGAGCAATTGAATGATTAACGAACGCTCATTAGAGAACGAACGTCCATAGAGAACGAGCGCTCAATAGAGAACGAATGTACACTAAAAACAAACATCAAGACCGAACGTGGATGAAAATGACCGAACGTGGATGAAAATGGTCAATACCAAGGTTCATCTCCAAGGACGAGCGCTCTGTTTTTTTTTTATTTTTATTTTTATTTTTATATTTGTTTTTTTTCTTTTTACATATATATTATTTTATTTTTATTTTTGTCTTTTTATGGGAAAATGCAATAAACTAAATTTATTTGTCAATCCGGACGAAATTAAGTGTTGACACACATAATTCAAACAAGTTCATGCATTAATAGAAAAATTACATAGAAGTTCAGAAATTTACTCTCAACCCCAGTGAAATGGAGTTTTAGCTACACATATACATCATAGAAAAGAGAAATGATGGATTGGATGGTGGAAATTGGTGATTTTCCACCATGGAAGCCCTTGGAGCAGCTGCTGCAGCGTCTCCCCTGGTCTCCTCTCCGTCCAAATCTGCTTCCCGTGAATTCTGGATCTGGTTTTAAAAGAGAAGCTCCAATAATTGAGTCACGGGTTCTTTCTGGACGAGCGTCCAATTTCGGGACGAGCGTCCAATTTTGGGACGAGCCTCCACTTTCGGGACGAACGTGCTTCTCTGCTGGACGAATGTGGACGAGCGTCCTCTGCTGGACAACAAGCGTCTGGACGAATTCCCCAGTTCTACCTTTCCCCACTTCACCAACCCAATAATTTCTGCAACCCTCCAACCACAGCTACCGACACTCACATTCCACCAATCAGAGCTGCCGACACTCACATTCCTTCTACCAATTTAATGGTTGCAGGCCAACCTCCAGCAGCTCATGAATCTTCACCCCTTTCTTCTCCATCTCCAATACCCGTGCCCCATCAACACTACCAACACACCTCACGGCCACCTTTCTTCATCCATTCCCAACAACCCAAATACACCCACGACTACTGGAATTCATCATCCTTCACACCATCTTCAACATCCTAAACTCACGGCCACCACACAATCTTCAATCACCATCCTTCCACCCAACTTCCACTTCATCTCCCCAACATCAAAACTTGAAAATCTAAACACCCACCCTCCTAATCTCAGCATTTCCCTTTCACTCGTCAACATCCAATTCAATTTCCAGTTCAACTCCACCCATCAACCACACTTCCTTTTCACTCCAAATTCCCCATCTCAACACCCTTCATCATTATCCTCTCCACCCTCAACGTTCACCTCCGACCACCGTGAACCATACCAAACCTGCAAGAAATACAGAAACGACACAACTCATTCCCAAATCACCATCAACAGCAGAGTGGGAGCAAGATCTGACGCTGCGGCCAGTGGCGGCCTTGGAAACTCCTGGGAACTGCCGGCGACATTAGAAATCAGGCAGAGAACTCTTCGTCCAAAAAGACAGCATATATTGCAACAAATTTATGTATTTCTACCATCCAATGAATCAGTAGAATTTAAGGAAGTTGGTTTACTGGCAAAAGAGATTTGCAAGTCCATAAAATATCATCAAGGGAAGGGAACGGACCAAGTGGGACTATTTTTGGTCCGGCGACGCTCCGACGGCAGTCCGGCGACCACCGCAAGGGTCCGACACAGGGAAGGAAGCGGGTGGGAGGAATCGATACTCAAAACGCAAACTTGGTTGGTTGGCCGGAGGGAAGACGATGTCGTCTTCGGTTCGTCTGCCAACACCGGCAATGCGGCGACCCGCAAACCGAACTGCGTGGCTGGGTGGAAGACGACGGACACCGGCGGCACTGGATGGAGCGAAAACGGCAACGTCTACTGGCTTGGCGTATCTGGCGAGAGCTGTGGTGGCTGGTTCGAAGGAAAGAAGGAGAGAAGGTGCTCCATCAAATGTTCTCCGTTTTCTCTCTCTCAAAACATTTGAATCTGAAATTTTCGAAACAACCCTAAAAATTTGAATCTGCCCCAATTCTGCCATTGCCACATCATTCTTCGATTTTAAAAAAAAATTCCACGTGCACCAGTAACATTTAGACACGCGTCCTGTGTCCAAATGTTGTCAAAATTTGTTGTCTAAGTATCGTTTTCCTTTTCAAAAACGTAAATGGATCTTTGTCTGTGCCTTTTACTGTTGTAAGAAATAGAAAATCAAAATAATCCAACCATTTAATAATTTTTAGGAACAATTTTAAGAAACCTTTTACCAATAAAATTTTTTTAAACAATTTATCAAAAATTATAATTTAAACATTTTTCTCATTCCATTTTCTATCTTTTATATTTCAAATTTGACCCTTCTAATATCAATGGACAATTCTAGTATATGACAAAATATAGTATAAGATATGGGCTAAGTTAGTATTTTCTTCTAAACCTTTCTGTGGACAAGATAAAAATATAGTTTTTATAATAACTTCTTTTCGTATAAGATATATGTTTTTCTTTTTCAATATCAAGATACTTTCATAGGTTTCGTATTAGATATATGGTATATTTCGTTAAATTTCGATTCAATGCAATTATTCTAACTTTATTAAAATATTTTCTTGTATCGTTTTCAATTGTATAATATGGTACTCGATTATAAAACAACAATGGATTTATCACATTATAGGTAGCAAATACGACAATAACAGATAAATGTGATTTTTGTGTTTTTTAAATACTTTTTTTTGAAAGATTTTATCAAAAAAAATTCACTTAATTAATTAAATTGTCAACCTCCCGTGTTCATACCAAATCACCCTCCTAATCTCCCTCCACCTCAAAGCACCCCCTAGCACTATAATGTGTTTGAAAACAATATTCCAATAAAAATAAAAAGTAGCATCCTTTTTCTTATTCATCTACATTTTAATTGATTTTAATGGATTAAAAATACAGTAGATTGTAAAGTTTAAAATCTTAATGTTTGCATCTACTGTTTTTGTGATATATTTATCGTTTAATTAAAATAAAGTGATATATTGTACTTAAATGTATTTTCTGAAAGAAACAATTTCAAATAATTTTTAGAAGTAACATTATAAGACTTTAGAATGTAAGTATTTCATATAAGTTCATAATTTGGTTACAACAGCGAAATTATACAAAATCCAACACCAACTGTACATTACACGTGGAAATCTTGAACCATGTGTGGCGATAAATGAAGCGAGAAAGTCAAAGATCCTTGTTTTCTTAATTTGAGAAATTGCTAAATAGGAACATCTCCATTTGAATGGTACATTTGTAATGAATTTATGTATTATGGTGTCCTTTGCAAGAAGATAGAATGCAAGTTAATACAAAATACATTGTTATCTGTATATTACTTTTTTTTTATCATCATATGGAAACGAACAAACAGACAGAGG